GTTAAATCCTGAATATAAATCTGTAAATCTAAATGTGAAGGTTAAATAAAAATGTTGCAACTAAATGATAAAACTTATACTTAAGTTTTTAAGCTCTATCAATAGAAATTTGTTTCAGTTTCAAATAGCAACAAAAGCTAGGCTCTAGTTATGACAGCATCAACCTGGGACAAAAGCAACTGCTATCGCTGCTAATGCTGCTAATGCTGCTAATGCTGCTATTGTTGCTAACGCAGCTATCGCTGCTAATGCTGCTAATGCTGCTATTGCTGCTAACGCAGCTATCACTGCTAACGCTGCTAATGCTGGTAATGCTGCTAATGCTGGTAATGCTGTTAATGCTGCTATTGTTGCTAACGCAGCTATCGCAGCTATCGCTGCTAACGCTGCTAATGCTGCTATCGCTGCTAATGCTGCTATCGCTGCTAATGCTGCTATCGCTGCTAAAGCTTCCCTACAAGAGATCAAACTTGCAGTTGCTGCCGGTGTCCGAGCTGCACTTCAAACTGCCGGGACACGATGTTTTCAATGAACACGTTTTGAATTTAGATTTTAAACGCCATCTTTAGCGGCGTTAGCAGTGTTAGCGATTGCTTTTGTTTCTCAGGATGATCACAACAAAAGCTGTGCACGGACAATAAATGCTTCTGAAATTCTTAAAGGTAAGCTTTTTCATTCAGCTGCAACATTTAGGATTTAATTTCTATATTTAGATTTACAAATTTAGATTTAGGATTTAACATTTACGTATTGTGTGCAGTGCCCTGAGACAACAGTTGTTGTGATTTGGTGCTATGTAAATAAACTGAATATAACATGTAGTAAAAAAAAAAAATAGCAACAGTGAACTAAATAACTATAAAATGTTAGTTGAAATTTTTTTAACTAGAATTTTAGAACAGAAGTTGAGCAAAAATAATGAAAATGTTAGTGATGTTGTTAAACATTTAATTTTACACTGAGCCCCTCATAGTTTCACTAGTTTTAATTTGCTTTATAAGTTCGCAGACTATTTGCAGCTCTTTTTCAATCTCTTTGTTAAAATTTATTTATTTCGCCRTAAAAATCTTTTACAACCTGAACTTCTTCAAACAGACTCAGACTGCMAACACTCTGTTTTCATTTGCTTCCTTTTTGCAAACATGATGAAAAATTTATGAGACACCTTCCTGTTTATGAATATTGTGGTAAAGTCAKATTTCCACAGCACAGTAACATAAACAGAATATACACAGAATGTAACACATGTCAGGTAGCCGAGCTTCATCTTCTTCCTCAGTGTGAATTTGTAAACAAACGTTTCCTCCAGGCACATTTCTCTCCCCGCAGACCTCCTACTCCAAAATGTTGCAACGACGCAGCTTCAGGTGTTCGACTCAAAAAGAGATTTTATTTTTAGATGAATCACGAGTGGAGGAAAAACTGTCCTGCGTGCTTCACCATTTAAAAGCTTCTGGTTGTCCTGAGGTCAGGGCCTGAGCTGTGATAGTGCGGACACTCCTTTGGCTCACTGGACTCAAACCAGTGACGTCGGGCTGAGCTCGTCATCAGCGCTGCAGTCCAGAACTCCTGCTGCTGCGACRATCACAGAGGACCGAGAGGTAGGATTAAAGGATGACTAAAGGATGGTTGTACTTTGAAAAGTCTATTTTTTTAGTTTTAATTGATCTTTTTGTTTTCKGTAGCGGTTGACTGACACGATGAATCTATTTGAATCCAGCAGCACACTTTTCATGTTTCATGCTTCACACACACTCCTTTCTTTTTCTTTTTCATTCCCTGCTGAGCTTCATTCTTTAGACAAATGAACAAGAAAACCCTCAAAATCCCTGACATCCTTCTGAAAATACATCCATAGAGCCACTGGAGCTAATCATGTTCTCACTGAGATCACTATTTAAATCCTCAGGAGTAGTTTTCATGTTTGTTTTAATATCAAACATATTTTTGGCTTTGGTTCCAAAAATCTTATGAGCAGCCGAAACAAAAATGATATTTGTGTCAAAATCTCACTTCTGGATCAACAAAAAGAAGCAGGAAATGATCCACAAGTCAAAGCAACAACAAGAAAAAAATGAGGCAAAAAGAGACGTGATACATTTCCTGATTAACTCCACAAAATCCTGATTAAATGAAAGGCCTAGCATTATTTTTCAGAATGTATGGGGCTAAATTAGGGCCATTAAGTTTCTTTTAAAAAATATATATATATATACGTATATATATATTCAGTTTCAAATCTTTTTTTATTTTTTATTTTTTTTGTTAGGTTTATTTTCTTTTTCATTGCTTTTTATTTTGTTAAAAACATTTTTCAGTTTCAGTTCTTTTCAGCTCTAAAAGTTTTCTTTAAGTTTGAACAAATTTCATGATTAATTCACAAATAAGCATGCACTAAGTATTTATGTCTCTGTTTGCATCTCATCTTGTTCATTCTGCACAGTTTGAGCAGATTAAATAATCTGCATATTTACTTGTTTCTTCTGCTCCATCGTTTCGTTCCTGTGTTTAAAAGTTGCATCATGAAACTTTTCTCGTTTGTGCAGAAAAGAGCTGCAGGAGAGTGTCAGGCTGCTGTCAGGGATCTCTGAGAGTGAAGTCTTATTACCTGCTTGGCTTTAACAAGCTGATGTACAGATTTAGGAGAGAAGCAGACACCTGGCTGCTTTTTGGGTCAGTCTGACAGTAAAAATAATTCTTACAAGCAATATAAAAGTGCACTTTTTCATTCTGGCATTGACTTAACCTTCACCGATTCCTTTATGATTTGTCATTTCCAACTTAAAAATACAACAAACAGTGGACAGCAGGATTCCTTTCATTAGAACGACCCTGAATAGAAACATATTTTATTCTCAGACTGCTGTGTGTCCTAACATGAACCTCAGCCTCCTCATGAGGCAATCAGTCGTGGAAAATGTGCAGCAACTAAATTACAAAAGTAGTTCGACTGCAGCACACATCATTACAAGCAAACAAGAATTTAAAAAATTGACGATTACAAGATGCTCTCAGAAGGTTTTTATAATCTGAAAGTCAGTAAAAAAAAATGCTCTCAGTTGCCATCAAGGATAAAGGCATCAGAAAATAAAGATTTAGTGCAGAAATCTGAAAGTTCACAGGTTAATATAATTCCTAAGATTCGACWGAATTTTTGCACAGCAGCTGTTAACGGTTTAATTTTAAGCTCTTATGTCGTGTTTACATAACCAACCTGGGAACATTTTATAATGTAAAAAATACATGTAACATTTCCTCTTTTAAAATCAATGAAAAACAAACTTGTTGCTTTTAATGAAGAAGTGATAATCACGTCCTTAAAAACGTGTTGTGTGGGCACAATCACAAGTCCCACCTTCTGTTTGGTACGACGYTTGAAAAATAATCAGGAGTGTGCATTATTCAAATCCAGGCCGACTCATTTTAAACCACTAATTAAATCAGAGCAGAAACACCTTCACAACTTACAAGTCGCCGTCTTTTCGGTTCCCATCAAATATTTTACATAACAGCCCTGCATGTCCGGGCACTCCWACACTGTTGGGTCTGTGTTTCTCACAAAGCCAGGCTAACCTCTACCAGGTGTAYCAGCGGCAGGTAAATAACTATGCTAACATGCACAAGTCATTTTAACTTAAAAGTCTTTAAGTTAAAATAAAAGCAGGTGAAGTGTTTTGTTAAAGGTTGATAAATCAGGTGAAAGAAGATTCTGATTATGAGCTTACACAGTGATACCTCAGCATTATTAAAGTGGACCTCCACTTCAGGCTAAAGGGCTCAACACACGGGAGGCGACGTCGCTCGCTCTCCATTCATTTCCTRHRGARMBTGTGCGGTGAGGCGACAATCGCTTGCCCTCCTCCAGCTAAGCGACCGGCGAAAATAGTGCATGTGAAATTTCGCGCTCGTACACATGCACGTGTACACGCGAGCTTGCGACGCGATATTTGAAAGTTGAAAAATGTTGAACTTTTGTCGCTGTCGCTTAGCGTACAACCAATCAGCGAGGGTTTCATTGGCTGACCAATGAGAGGAGAGTATGCTACACACTGCCGTTAGCTAACACTTTCACCAAGTGATTACTAAAAAGCTTTGTGGGAATTTGTTGGCACCAGGGTGAAGTTTATGGTAAGTTTTTCCTCATAAAACTGTATCTTGATGTGCGTTTGTTTTTCAATACCATTAGCGTCGCAAGATTTGTTTAGTTTACACGTCCGTAATGCACACCCGCCTTCAGAGTTAAGAACCAATCAAATTTTGTGAAGACAAGCGACCTGAGAGCGCGATTCGCAACGCTGCAATCGCCATCGCGTCCCGTGTGTCGGGTTTCACCCTGGCTGCGATGACAGCCATTGGCTGTGTCCAAAACGGCAGGACGGGTCCTCCGAAGGTCGAATTTGTCGGCCGCATACGTCACAGCGCCGCGACGAAGGACGTCCAAAACGGAAGACTCCTCCGATGCGTCCGACAAATACGTCCTTCTTTTTCCCCGAATCGAAGGACAGGTCTGATGAATCCTTCCC